CCTGCTGGATCAGACCAGGGGTCCATCTAGTACAGCATCCTGAGAACATAGGAAGAGGCCTGCTGGATCAGACCAGTGGTCCATCTAGTCCAGCATCCTGAGAACATAGGAAGAGGCCTGCTGGATCAGACCAGGGGTCCATCTAGTCCACCATCCTGAGAACATAGGAAGAGGCTTGCTGGATCAGACCAGTTATCCATCTAGTCCAGGGGTCCATCTAGTCCAGCATCGTAAGAAAACAAGAAGAGCCCAGCTGGATCAGACCAGAGGTCCATCTAGTCCTGCCTCCATAAGAAGAATACTGACTGGAGAGTTTTATTTAGTCTCTCCCTCTAAGCTGTCCTTACCAAAGAGTTGCCTTTTGTGGGCACAACGAATACACTTTGCTACTGAGCCACCAGCCTTGCCTACTACCAAACCTCTGCAACCTTGAACCTTGGACCGGACCTGACAACCGGCTTTCCTGGAACCCCTGACCTCGGACTGGACTTGGACCAGCTGCCTGGAACTCCTTGAGCCTTGACAGGACTTTGGTAAACCTGCTCTCTGGAACCCCTGACATTTGGACTGGACTTTGGTCACTCTCTGCAGCCTTGCTTGTGACGTGCCCTGCTGGATCCCAGCCCGTGCCTCCTGGGGAAGCTACACCAGTACAGTAGGGTTTTCAAGGCAAGGGACGTTCAGAGGTAGTTTCCCATTGCCTGCCTCTGCACAGAAACCCCGGACTTCCTTGCTGGTCGCCCATCCAGGTATTATCGAGGGCCGCCCTGCTTAGATTCCGGGATCTGGTGAGACCGGGCCAGACGGGGCCTTCCGGGTCGGGGCCCGCCGCACTCACCAGTTGCTCTTCCAGGTGTGCCGGACGTGGGGGTCGTGGATGTTGTGCTTGTCCGCCTGCTCGTCCAAGAAGTCAAACATGTACTTGATGGCCAGCGGGAGGGCGCTACCACGGTGGGCGGTGCTGAAGATGGTCTCAAAGAGGTCATCGACGAACTTCTGTAATGTGCCCTGGTGGAAGGGGAGGAAAAGGAGGCGTCAAAAGGAAGAAGAAGAAGAAGAAGAAGAAGAAGAGGAGGAGGAGGAGGAGGAGGAGGAGGAGGAGGCTGGATTTATACCCTGCCCTCCTCCCCCCCTTTCTTTGTCCACTCACTCTCTCACATGGCCTTCCATGGAAAGAAGAAGAGGAAGAGAAGCGATTGGATTTATACCCCACCCTTCACTACCCGAAGGAGTCTCAGAGCGGCTTACAAACTCCTTTCCCTTCCTCTCCCCACAACAGACACCCTGTGAGGTAGGTGGGGCTGGGAGAGCTCTTTCAAGGACTGCTCCTGAGAGAACAGCTCTGAGAGAACTTGTGACTGACCCAAGGTCACACCAGCAGCTGCATGTGGAGGGGTGGGGAATCAAACCCGGTTCTCCCAGATTAGAGTCCGTGCTCCTAACCACTACACCGAACCACTATGCCAACACCAGAAGGGCCAAAGATGCTCTGTAGCAACGTAAAAAAATCCTATCTCGGCCAACATGACGAACCTTCCTGATGTTTTAAAAGTGCGCTGTCTTTTAAATGACTCTGTTCTGGAGATATCAATGAACATAGCCACCTTTTTATAATTGGCGACAAAGCTACGCCGGGAAAACTACCAATGAGTAATAGTTTTATGCAATGCTATACAATATTCGGTAAAATGCTTGGCTCCAGGGGTCATTTCCTGCAGGAGCGCACAGGAGCAGAGCTCCGGCAGTAAAGAGCCCAGGGGGCGGGCACATGCAACAAGCCCCACCCCCTGCTCCCAGCAGCCCTCAGTCAGAGCAAGAAGCAGCCAGGTAAGTTGCTGAGCCCCCCCCCCCAGTCCAAAACAGTCCAGTGGCACCTTTAAGGCCAAGTTTTATTCAGGCACAAGCTCTCCCTCCTCTGCGAGGACAGATCTGCATGTTTCCCCCCCCCCCAATAGCTAGTAATCCAAAAGAGTGCAGTGGAGCCTGAGCGGTGGGTGTTGCCTTCTGACACGCTTCCGGTGATGTCAGGGGGTGTGGCCTATGCAAATGAGTTATGCTAATGAGCTCCTGCACCTCTTTCTCTACGCAATGACCCCTGCTTGGCTCTATAAGTATGGCTCTATATGGTTTTAAATGTATATTTCCTTTTTTATTGTATGCCAGTAAAGGTTAACTGAACTGAACTGAACAAAAGTACAGGATCCTCCCAGTCTGACTCGCGTCTCCTGAAGCCGGACCACAGCCGCAGGGGACTTATTCCTCCAAGCGCCCCAAGTTGTTGCCCACTTTTGGGTTGGGAAATACCTGGGGATCTTGGGGGCGGAGCCTGAGGGGGGCGGGGTCTGGGGAGGCAAAGGACTTCAGTGGGGTACGATGCCCTAGAGCAGGGATGGCGAGCCTTTTAGAGACCGAATGCCCAAACTGCGACCCAAAACCAACTTATTGATCGCAAAGTGCCAACACGGCAATTTAACCTGGAGACTGAGGTTTTACTTTAGAAAAAACAACTCACACATTAACTTAAGATGATCCAAACAAAGTAAGGAAAGCAATCCCAAATGCTTTCATTTTCTTAAAATGATCTGGCAGAGAATTCAACCCTTTAATGGTGGTCTGGGCCTGGCTGGGGCGATGGCACGCGTGCCCACGGAGAGGGCTCTGAGTGCCGCCTCCGGCCCCCGTGCCACAGGTTCGCCACCACTGCCATAGAGTCCACCCTCCGAAGCAGACATTCTCTCTAGGAGAACTGATCTCCAGCAATGGAGATCAGTTCTAATCCCAGGAAATTTCCGACTACCACTTGGAGACTGGCAACCCTACCCAACACCCAATTTGGATCGAGACAGTAGCTACTGGGGAGAGAAGGGACTTCAGCCTCCTGCCCCCCCGGGGGGGGCTGTTTCCTGACCCCAAATGGCTTTGGGGCACTTTTTGCCCCTTTTCTGGAATGGCACATAAATGGAACAGATTCACAGAATAGAAGAGAAGAGAAGAAGAGATTGGATTTAAACCCCGCCCTTCACTCGGAGTCTCGGAGCGGCTTCTACCCAAAGGTGTCTTAGAGCGGCTTACAATCTCCTCTCCCTTCCCCTCCCCACAACATACACCCTCTGAGGCAGGTGGGGCTGAGAGAGCTCTCTCGAGAACTGCTCCTGAGAGAACAGCCCTGAGAGAACTATGGCTTGCCCAAGGTCATCCAGCAGCTGTGACTGGAGGAGTGGGGGAATCAAACCCGGTTCTCCCAGATTAGAGTCCGCGCACTTAACCACGACACCAAACTGGCACCAAACAGGAACAACCCTGACCCAGCTCATGAACAAAAGCTTGGTCTCGTTTGGGCCTTAGCCTTCACTGCCCACGAGGACCATAATTTCTAGCTGATTTATCATCTGCAGGTTTTTCATAGTTAATCACACAATTAAGCTCAACATAAATTTCCACGCCGAAGCCTTTTAGAGATCCCGACGGGACAGTGAAGTAACTGGCAATTCAATAAGCAAAAGGCATCTTTCACGTTTATGTTTTCAATCCCTCTAGTAGTATTTTTTTCCCTCCTCTATTATGCATCTCTCTCGCTCCTCTCCTCTTCCAAGGAGCTCAGGGCCAGACAGACGGGGTTGATCCCGTTTCATCTTCACTGCAGCTCTGTAAGGTACAGTAGGTTGAGAAGAAGAGGAAGTGACTTGTCCCCAGAGCCACTCAGTGAAAATTACGGCTGAATGAGAATTTGAGAACCTGGGGGTCCCCCCCCCCCAATTAATGCTCAACAATCTATCCCAGGGCTGAGTCATTATCTTGTAGGAGTTCCTCAGGCTGTGACGTGCTAATGGAGGAGCTTTCCTGAGGAGGTTCTTTTGTATATGGATTGGCTGTTGAAACTCTAATCT